ACCTCAAACCTGCACCTCAAACCTGCACCTCAAACCTGCACCTCAAACCTGCACCTCAGACCTGCACCTGAAACCTGCACTTCAAACCTGCACCTCAAACCTGCACCTCAAACCTGCACCTCAAACCTGCACCTCAAACCTGCACCTCAAACCTGCACCTCAAACCTGCACCTCAAACCTGCACCTCCAACCTGCACCTCAAACCTGTTGTCAAACCTGCACCTCAAACCTGCACCTCAAACCTGCACCTCAAACCTGCACCTCAAACCTGACGTCAAACCTGCACCTCAAACCTGACGTCAAACCTGCACCTCAAACCTGCACCTCAAACCTGCACCTCAAACCTGCACCTCAAACCTGCACCTCAAAACTGCACCTCAAACCTGCACCTCAAACCTGCACCTCAAACCAGCATCTCAAACCTGCACCTCAAACATGTTGTCAAACCTGCACCTCAAACCTGATGTCAAACCTGCACCTCAAACCTGCACCTCAAACCTGACGTCAAACCTGCACCTCAAACCTGACGTCAAACCTGCACCTCAAACCTGCACCTCAAACCTGCACCTCAAACCTGCACCTCAAACCTGTTGTCAAACCTGCACCTCAAACCTGATGTCAAACCTGCACCTCAAACCTGCACCTCAGACCTGCACCTCAAACCTGACGTCAAACCTGCACCTCAAACCTGACGTCAAACCTTCGCCTCAAACCTGCACCTCAAACCTGCACCTCAAACCTGCACCTCAAACCTGACGTCAAACCTGCACCTCAAACCTGCACCTCAAACCTGCACCTCAAACCTGCACCTCAAACCTGCACCTCAAACCTGCACCTCAAACCTGCACCTCAAACCTGCACCTCAAACCTGTTGTCAAACCTGCACCTCAAACCTGATGTCAAACCTGCACCTCAGACCTGCACCTCAAACCTGACGTCAAACCTGCACCTCAAACCTGACCTGACGTCAAACCTGCACCTCAAACCTGCACCTCAAACCTGCACCTCAAACCTGCACCTCAAACCTGCACATCAAACCTGCACCTCAAACCTGCACCTCAGACCTGCACCTGAAACCTGCACTTCAAACCTGCACCTCAAACCTGCACCTCAGACCTGCACCTCAAACCTGCACCTCAAACCTGCACCTCAAACCTGCACCTCAAACCTGCACCTCAAACCTTCGCCTCAAACCTGCACCTCAAACCTGCACCTCGAACCTGCACCTCAAACCTGCACCTCAAACCTGCACCTCAAACCTGACGTCAAACCTGCACCTCAAACCTGCACCTCAAACCTGCACCTCAAACCTGCACCTCAAACCTGCACGTCAAACCTGCACCTCAAACCTGCACCTCCAACCTGCACCTCAAACCTGCACCTCAAACCTGCACCTCAAACCTGTTGTCAAACCTGCACCTCAAACCTGATGTCAAACCTGCACCTCAGACCTGCACCTCAAACCTGACGTCACACCTGCACCTCAAACCTGACGTCAAACCTGCACCTCAAACCTGCACCTCAAACCTGCACCTCAAACCTGCACCTCAAACCTGACGTCAAACCTGCACCTCAAACCTGCACCTCAAATCTTCACCTCAAACCTGCACCTCAAACCTGCACCTCAAACCTGCACCTCAAACCTGCACCTCAAACCTGCACCTCAAACCTGCACCTCAAACCTGCACCTCCAACCTGCACCTCAAACCTGTTGTCAAACCTGCACCTCAAACCTGCACCTCAAACCTGCAGCTCAAACCTGCACCTCAAACCTGACGTCAAACCTGCACCTCAAACCTGACGTCAAACCTGCACCTCAAACCTGCACCTCAAACCTGCACCTCAAACCTGCACCTCAAACCTGCACCTCAAAACTGCACCTCAAACCTGCACCTCAAACCTGCACCTCAAACCTGCATCTCAAACCTGCACCTCAAACCTGTTGTCAAACCTGCACCTCAAACCTGATGTCAAACCTGCACCTCAAACCTGCACCTCAAACCTGACGTCAAACCTGCACCTCAAACCTGACGTCAAACCTGCACCTCAAACCTGCACCTCAAACCTGCACCTCAAACCTGCACCTCAAACCTGTTGTCAAACCTGCACCTCAAACCTGATGTCAAACCTGCACCTCAAACCTGCACCTCAGACCTGCACCTCAAACCTGACGTCAAACCTGCACCTCAAACCTGACGTCAAACCTTCGCCTCAAACCTGCACCTCAAACCTGCACCTCAAACCTGCACCTCAAACCTGACGTCAAACCTGCACCTCAAACCTGCACCTCAAACCTGCACCTCAAACCTGCACCTCAAACCTGCACCTCAAACCTGCACCTCAAACCTGCACCTCAAACCTGCACCTCAAACCTGCACCTCAGACCTGCACCTGAAACCTGCACTTCAAACCTGCACCTCAAACCTGCACCTCAAACCTGATGTCAAACCTGCACCTCAGACCTGCACCTCAAACCTGACGTCAAACCTGCACCTCAAACCTGACCTGACGTCAAACCTGCACCTCAAACCTGCACCTCAAACCTGCACCTCAAACCTGCACCTCAAACCTGCACCTCAAACCTGCACCTCAAACCTGCACCTCAGACCTGCACCTGAAACCTGCACTTCAAACCTGCACCTCAAACCTGCACCTCAAACCTGCACCTCAAACCTGCACCTCAAACCTGCACCTCAAACCTGCACCTCAAACCTGCACCTCAAACCTGCACCTCCAACCTGCACCTCAAACCTGTTGTCAAACCTGCACCTCAAACCTGCACCTCAAACCTGCACCTCAAACCTGCACCTCAAACCTGACGTCAAACCTGCACCTCAAACCTGACGTCAAACCTGCACCTCAAACCTGCACCTCAAACCTGCACCTCAAACCTGCACCTCAAACCTGCACCTCAAAACTGCACCTCAAACCTGCACCTCAAACCTGCACCTCAAACCTGCATCTCAAACCTGCACCTCAAACCTGTTGTCAAACCTGCACCTCAAACCTGATGTCAAACCTGCACCTCAAACCTGACGTCAAACCTGCACCTCAAACCTGCACCTCAAACCTGCACCTCAAACCTGCACCTCAAACCTGTTGTCAAACCTGCACCTCAAACCTGATGTCAAACCTGCACCTCAAACCTGCACCTCAGACCTGCACCTCAAACCTGACGTCAAACCTGCACCTCAAACCTGACGTCAAACCTTCGCCTCAAACCTGCACCTCAAACCTGCACCTCAAACCTGCACCTCAAACCTGACGTCAAACCTGCACCTCAAACCTGCACCTCAAACCTGCACCTCAAACCTGCACCTCAAACCTGCACCTCAAACCTGCACCTCAAACCTGCACCTCAAACCTGCACCTCAAACCTGTTGTCAAACCTGCACCTCAAACCTGATGTCAAACCTGCACCTCAGACCTGCACCTCAAACCTGACGTCAAACCTGCACCTCAAACCTGACCTGACGTCAAACCTGCACCTCAAACCTGCACCTCAAACCTGCACCTCAAACCTGCACCTCAAACCTGCACATCAAACCTGCACCTCAAACCTGCACCTCAGACCTGCACCTGAAACCTGCACTTCAAACCTGCACCTCAAACCTGCACCTCAGACCTGCACCTCAAACCTGCACCTCAAACCTGCACCTCAAACCTGCACCTCAAACCTGCACCTCAAACCTGCACCTCAAACCTGCACCTCAAACCTGCACCTCAAACCTGCACCTCAAAACTGCACCTCAAACCTGCACCTCAAACCTGCACCTCAAACCTGCATCTCAAACCTGCACCTCAAACCTGTTGTCAAACCTGCACCTCAAACCTGATGTCAAACCTGCACCTCAAACCTGACGTCAAACCTGCACCTCAAACCTGCACCTCAAACCTGCACCTCAAACCTGCACCTCAAACCTGTTGTCAAACCTGCACCTCAAACCTGATGTCAAACCTGCACCTCAAACCTGCACCTCAGACCTGCACCTCAAACCTGACGTCAAACCTGCACCTCAAACCTGACGTCAAACCTTCGCCTCAAACCTGCACCTCAAACCTGCACCTCAAACCTGCACCTCAAACCTGACGTCAAACCTGCACCTCAAACCTGCACCTCAAACCTGCACCTCAAACCTGCACCTCAAACCTGCACCTCAAACCTGCACCTCAAACCTGCACCTCAAACCTGCACCTCAAACCTGTTGTCAAACCTGCACCTCAAACCTGATGTCAAACCTGCACCTCAGACCTGCACCTCAAACCTGACGTCAAACCTGCACCTCAAACCTGACCTGACGTCAAACCTGCACCTCAAACCTGCACCTCAAACCTGCACCTCAAACCTGCACCTCAAACCTGCACATCAAACCTGCACCTCAAACCTGCACCTCAGACCTGCACCTGAAACCTGCACTTCAAACCTGCACCTCAAACCTGCACCTCAGACCTGCACCTCAAACCTGCACCTCAAACCTGCACCTCAAACCTGCACCTCAAACCTGCACCTCAAACCTGCACCTCAAACCTGCACCTCAAACCTGCACCTCGAACCTGCACCTCAAACCTGCACCTCAAACCTGCACCTCAAACCTGACGTCAAACCTGCACCTCAAACCTGCACCTCAAACCTGCACCTCAAACCTGCACCTCAAACCTGCACGTCAAACCTGCACCTCAAACCTGCACCTCCAACCTGCACCTCAAACCTGCACCTCAAACCTGCACCTCAAACCTGTTGTCAAACCTGCACCTCAAACCTGATGTCAAACCTGCACCTCAGACCTGCACCTCAAACCTGACGTCACACCTGCACCTCAAACCTGACGTCAAACCTGCACCTCAAACCTGCACCTCAAACCTGCACCTCAAACCTGCACCTCAAACCTGACGTCAAACCTGCACCTCAAACCTGCACCTCAAATCTTCACCTCAAACCTGCACCTCAAACCTGCACCTCAAATCTCAAACCTGACCTCAAATCCGATTATTCATGCGCGATGCAACATTCCTTTTTTTTTGTCCTGCCCTCTCCCTTTATTTGCCCCCTACATTCCACTCCCCCACAGGTGTTGCACAAGGTGGGGGCGGAGCGAGCAGCAGCAGCAGTGATCACTCTCGACACGCCAGGGGCCAACTACCGCGCGGTGTGGGCGCTCAGCAAGAGCTTCCCGCACGTGAAGACGTTTGTGCGGGCACACGACGTGACCCACGGGATCAACCTGGAGAAAGCTGGTGCTACTGCTGTCGTCCCTGAGACCCTTGAACCCAGCTTGCAGCTAGCTGCTGCCGTGCTGGCACAGGTGAGGCTGAACCTGAACCACCCCCATGGAGAATTCCTAGACCTGCAGTGCCCCTGCTGCACTCGCCCTTGTAGGCTTGAGTTGAGGTTTGAGGCACCTCGGAAAAGCGAGTTTGAGAATTGTGGAGGCTGGAGCATGGTGGATGATTGGAGCTTCTAAACCCTGGATGGCGGTTGTGTCGATAGGGCTTCCCCTTCGTGATTGTTCCCCCCTCCTCTCATTCCTTATCCTTTTCCTCATGTCTCGCCCTCCCACCACCCCCATGCGTGTCTCTCAGGCAAAGCTGCCAGCAGCAGAGATAGCTGCCACGCTGGACGACTTCAGAACACGCCACCTGGCAGAGCTGACGGAGGTGAGACACCTGGCAGGCAGCTATTACTTTAGCTGATTACGCTGGCTTTCTTGGTGCTGTTGGGTCGTCCCTGTAGTGTAGATCCAGCGTTTTTTAATTCCTGCTTATCTCTCTTTTCGTGCTCCTCTTATTTCTGTGTTTTGCCTCTTGGTCTCTCATCCGGTCCTCGCCCCATCCTCTACACTCTCTCACACATCTCTCTGCACTGAGTGGGTCATTGCTGGGCTATGGCTACTCCAGCAACCTCATGATTGGATTTTCTTCCTTGCTCCTCTCATTTCTGTACTCTGCCTCTCATCCTCGCCCCATCCTCTGTCATCCTCACACAGCTCTCTGCACTGAGTGGGTCGTCGCTGGGCTATGGCTACTCCAGCAACCTCATGCGCGCCAGAGTTGCCGAGGCAGCAGGTGCGGCCGAAGCAGCAGGGAGCGGCAGCGGGTCTGCTACTGCAACGACCACCACCACCAGTAGCAGCAGCAGCGGCAGCAGTAGTGTGACAGAGGGGGAGGGAGGCATGGAAGGGCAGGTTGTGGTGCCTGCTTGAAAGGAGCTCAGAGCCACACTATCATTTATTATGTTAACCGCGAATTCAGAAAACCCATGTAAAATTCTCTGCATACATTATTCTTTAAAGGAGTTACATACAGTGCACCTGCTAAACACACATTTCCGCGATGGTCCTTTCTCTAGCCACTATTCGTCAGGGACTGAAGCTGTTCTTAGCGCGTACCACAACAACTGTGACCGATACTGCACCGGCGGCGGGACCGACACAATGCAGCCTTGATTGACCTTGCAAGTAGCAGCACCATCCGCAGCTGCGACTCATTCCAGCTTCCGATGGCGCGCCACGAGGATCGCGAGGCGTGCAGGCATCAATGCGTCTGACTGACGCTATCGAACGTGTAGGCTCTGCCGATAGCAATCGTCTGGGTAGTGTCGATAAGTATCGCCTAGGCACTGCTGTGAGCTGCTGACGATCGGATGCGCGGGACTGCCTCCTGGGCTCGAACCCCGCGCGCCAGCGCATTCCTCCGATCGCGTCGTATCGCGCCATTGTCGCAGCTCTCCGCGCGCAACAGAGATTGGGAACTGTTTGCTAATTTTAGTGACTTGGTGACATTGTCTAAACGCTCCGACGCGAAGACTGTGTAACCGTGGTAACCGCATTCGCACGTCCCGCCAGCATGGCAGGCCTAAACCTTCTCGGCCTCTCCCGCGGCTCCGGCAGACGACCCTCCGTGAGTCTCACAAGTCCCGATCCCCACTCGCCCTCACTCTCTCCCGCCCTCGTGCGTGCTCTCCTCCCCCCGCGCATTCCTCCCTTCTCTCCGCTCCGCTCCGCACGACCTTCCTCCGCGGCACGCACTCGTTGCCCTCGTCGCGCCATTCTTCGTTCCGCGCCCCTCCGCGCAAGCCGCGTCTCCCGCTTCCGCCAGTACCGCTCAACGCTCTCTTCCCCACTCTTCCCCAATCCCCCCCCATGCTCTCTCCCCTCCCTTCTCCCATTCCGCGCCCGCCCGCCCATCAGGCGCGGAGGCGCAAGGCAGGCGCGCGGGAGGGTGGGGTGGTGCTGCCGGTGCGCGCGCTGCTGCTGCTGTGCGCCGCGTGCTTGGCGCTCGTGCTGCTCGCCGTGCTCGCTGTGGTGGTGTGGGTATGTGAGCGGTGCTCTGGGTATGTGAGCGGTGCTCTGGGTATGTGTGCGGTGCTGTGGGTATGTGCGCAGTGCTGTGAGTATGTGTGCGGTGCTGTAGGGATGTGTGTGAGCATTACTGCAGCAACCCCTCATGCTGTCTATCTGTCTTCTCTCCTACCTCATCGCCCCTCACACTCCTCGCTCCTCTCTCATCTCTCCTTTCTCCTCGCTGCTCTCTCCCCTCTCCGAGCTCCCCTCTCTCCTCTCCTCTCTCTTCTCCCCTCTCTCCGCGTCAGGTGGCCTCGATCTCATGGCGGCATCAGCAACTGGCCAGCGCGCTAGCCAACTCCAATGCGAATGCTGGTGCTGCTGCTGCTGCTGGGGGGAGTGGGGCGAGTGGTGGGGCGAGTGGGACAGCAGCAGGAGCAGCAGCGGGTGGCGGTGCAGCAAAGGAGGCGGATAAAGAGATGAACCCTGCTAATCCCATGCACCTCCATGGTATGACCCATGCCCTCCTCCGCGCTACCACGACCCATGCATCTCCATACCCAGTTCCTGTGTGCATCCCCATCAGGTTCCCCATCAGGTTCCCCATCAGGTTTCCCATCAGGTTCCCCATCAGGTTCCCCATCAGGGTCCCCATCAGGTTCCCCATCAGGTTCCCCATCAGGTTCCCCATCAGGTTCCCCATCAGGTTCCCCATCAGGTTCCCCATCAGGTTCCCCATCAGGTTCCCCATCAGGTTCCCCATCAGGTTCCCCATCAGGTCCCCCATCAGGTCCCCCATCAGGTCCCCCATCAGGTTCCCCATCAGGTTCCCCGTGCACCCAACTCCGTTCATTGTGATCACAGCGGATGTGAATCTGATACAGCCATTCATATCTCTGTTCTCTTCTTTGCCTTTTCTGCCCTCTTCTCTTGCAGCTGCCCCTCCCGCGTCCCCTCCGCCTCCTCCCAAGGTTAGTCATACCACCATGCCATGCCATGTCGTGTTGTGCATTCATGTTTCAATCGTGATACACGTCTAGTAGACACATCACCCGTGCAATCCATGCGTCTAAGGTGCTACTTAAAACTGCACGAGGAACGTCATCTGTGCTGCTTCGTCGCTTTCCTGGTCCATGCCCGAAGTCCAAAACATGCCCATTGCATAAAGCTCAGTGCTGAATGCCGATTGCTCGATGTCTAAAACATGTCAAATTTCAGTTCTCCACCCCAACCATCCCTCCTCCACCTCCCTTCCCCCCTCTCAGACCGTGCGAAAGCGGCGCAAGGCGAAGCCAACGGACCTGATAAACCAGAGGCGCTGGCAACAGTTTTACCGCAACATCGTTCTCTGCTCACTGCTTCCTGCTCCATGCTGCTCCTCCCCTCCTCCCCTCCTCCCCTCCTCCCCTCCTCCCCTCCTCCCCTCCTCCCCTCCTCCCCTCCTCCCCTCCTCCCCTCCTCCCCTCCTCCCCTCCTCCCCTCCTCCCCTCCTCCCCTCCTCCCCTCCTCCCCTCCTCCCCTCCTCCCCTCCCCTCCTCCCCTCCTCCCCTCCTCCCCGTCCCCCCAGACCGCCCGCAAGCGGCGCAAGGCGAAGCCAACGGACCTGATAAACCAGCGGCGGTGGCAGCAGTTCTACCGCAACATGGTGCTGATCGTGAACTACAAGCGCCCGCAGCAGATGCCCGTCACCCTCGACCTCCTGCACTCGCTCTACGGCTCGCTCTTCCAGCGCATCCTCGCTGTCTCCGAGTTTGGCGACGCCGATTTGGGGGTGCTCGAGGTGCGTGCACGGTGCACCATGTGGCCAGGGCGGGGGTGGGGAGGGGTGGGGCGCAAGGGAAGGTAGTGGCTGCTAATACCTCCCACGATCCTCATACCTCCCACGATCCTCATACCTCCCTCCTCCACCTCTCCCTCCCTCTCCACCCGCCTGCCTGCTCTCGCAGTCCCCTGTGAAGGAGACAGGGCACGGCCACGACTTGCCGCCCGGCTCGCTGCACTACAGTGTGCTGCCGAAGCTGCTGACGTGGCACCCCATGGCGGAGGGCTTCCTGTGGATGGATGATGACACGGTGCTCAACTACTGGACCATGAGCCGCGATAACAAGGTGCGGTAACCGGGTAATGTGATGACACGGTGCTCAAATACCACCATGAGCCGCGATAACAATGTGTGGTAAGGTGGTAATAATGTGCGGTTAACAGTCTAGTGTTTGAAAAGCGGTGTTGTGTGGTGACGGGATAAAAATGGCATTTCTGTTCCGACGCACATCCAACCCTGTTCCCTTTCCTTTCTCCCCTTCACTCATCACCCCCATCACCCTCATCACCCTCATCACCCCCATCACCCCCATCACCCTCATCACCCCCATCACCCCCATCACCCTCATCACCCCCATCACCCCCATCACCCCCATCACCCCCATCACCCCCATCACCCCCATCACCCCCATCACCCCCATCACCCCCATCACCCCCATCACCCCCATCACCCCCATCACCCCCATCACCCCCATCACCCCCATCACCCCCATCACCCCCATCACCCCCATCACCCCCATCACCCCCATCACCCTCATCACCCCCATCACCCTCATCACCCCCATCACCCCCATCACCCTCATCACCCCCATCACCCCCATCACCCTCATCACCCCCATCACCCCCATCACCCCCATCACCCCCATCACCCCCATCACCCCCATCACCCCCATCACCCCCATCACCCCCATCACCCCCATCACCCCCATCACCCCCATCACCCCCATCACCCCCATCACCCCCATCACCCCCATCACCCCCATCACCCCCATCACCCCCATCACCCCCATCACCCCCATCACCCCCATCACCCCCATCACCCCCATATCTCCCCCCTTCAGTCGCGCATCTGGTTCCTGGGGCCCATGCACCAGTCGTGGCGCATTGCCAGCCTCGACCCCAGCGGAAGCGTGGCAGGGGGATGGGGAGGGGAGGGGAAGGAGGCGGGAGCGGTGAGGTACATGGAGGATGCGAGTGAGCGCGTGGAGGAGAGTGGGGAGGCGCTGCAGCTTCTAAAGCAGGCCGTTTCCCAGGTGAGACTTCGTGTGCCCTGCCGTGCCATACCATGGCATGCAATGCCGTACCATGTGGTGCCCTCGCGATGCTTTTTGTGCCTCAAACTGTGTCACATCACATGGTACAGTCTTCCGTCAATCCATGCTCTCTTGCACCGCTGACTCGCCATGTTCTGCCCCTCATTTCTCGTCCGTCGCCCATGCTCCTCATTCCCCCCAATGCCCTTCCCCCACAGGCGCTCTCCCACCTCCCCCAACAGTACCTGCAGCGGTACCAGCAGTCCATCTCCCCCAAGACAAATATATTTCTGCGGGCGGCGTCGAACGTCTTTTATATCCCGCAGCGCCATGCGCCTGCGATGCGCTCGCTCGTCCCCATCTTTGCCGACCATCGCATTGTGGCTGATGTAAGCTGCACCCTTCCTTTTCACTCCGTTTTGCTCTGTTCCAACATCTACCCATGTTTTTTTGGCACCTTCTTGGCCCCTTAGAATTGCCTTCCACTACTTGTCGTTTTGGTTCCAGACCTCTCTCCTGGGTTTATTATTCATGTGGTTTTATCTTTTGCAGGTGGCAATACCAATGATGCTGCATGCCTTGGAGCATCCACGAGAGTGGGACGGTCACGCATTGACCGATGTTATTTATCTCACAGGAACAGACGTCAATACGCCTGCTAAATTCTACTCGCCCCGTGTCACAGCCATGCATCCATGGGGTCTGTCGGCACACCACCATGGCTCCCACATCATCAAGGCAATGTCACAGGGCGACCCAATGCTAGAATCCACCATTGATGGAGAAAGGGTAGGAAATCTGTAACGATTTTATCTCATTCACTGTACGTGTGCTTTATTCACATTACCGCATTTACCACTCGTCCAAAACGCTAGCTTGATTGCCAGCAGTACGAGCCGCATGTCTCGCGAACCACATGTACCACTCGCGAGTCGCAAATTACGAGCCGCATTTTCCAATTTCGGCCCCTCTTGCTCCCTCTGTCGCCCAACACTCGCCATCATTCGTCTCGTCCCAGCTTTTGTTCTCAAATCCTGTGCCGCATTGTTCTGCGTGTGCTACGTGTGCTGCGTGTGTTGCTCCTGCTCCGTCCAAACTCCTCACAACCTTCGCTGCACCCACCCTTGCCTCAGCACCGTACAAGCCTACTCAGATATTCACGGTTCTCCAGAAAACAACTCTACCTATGAACCACACACCCATCTCGCGCGATTTGGTTGCTTCCCAGGGCTCATGGTGTAAGCGACAAACCTAACCTCATCCACTATCTAGTCGAGTCAAACATCTCGTTGTCCCCCGGAGGTCTGTACCACATATACCAACATGTAAGACTATTTCCAAAATATACCACTTGGTCTTCGTACTATTGCTGACCTACTACGTGCGAACTTCGAGAGCCTTTTCGTAGGAACGATATCCACCACTGGTAGCGTTTGGCAGTGGGCTTTACACGAGGATAGTTCGGGTAGCGCTGGGCCACGACAGCGGCGCACGTTGCGTTCCACTCAGATCCGTCTGCTGGTCACAGGACCGTGCTCCGTGACAGATACCCCGCAGATTTTGGGAGCTCGGACCACCCACATTGTTAACATCGCGGAAAAGGTCGACGACCAAAAACGGGGCTGCCTAGTACCATCATCTAAAAGTTCAAAACACCTCCAAATAAAACTCCTTGCCCGATGAGGACGAACAAGGCGCTCGGCGCGTTTGTGAACGGCGCGCTGGCGGTCATCGGGTTGGGGCTCGTGGGCGTGGCGCTGTGGATGCTGCTCGACGCCACGTACGGCGCGTGCTTGCTGCCCTACCAGCTCCCCGTCATCGTCGTCGGCGGCGCGCTGCTGCTCGCGGCGCTCGTCGGCTTCTGCGGGCTCGCATGCGACTCGAACTCGCTCTCGTGCCTCTACCTCGTCGTCGCGCTCGTCGCCGTGCTTGCATCCACGGCTTTCACCAGTGAGTCCTCGTTTCGCTCTTGTCGAATCTCTTGTCAAACGAGTGCTATATCATGCTTATCCCAATCCGTCGCCGTAATTTCGTTTTCTTCCCTTCCCTCGCCAATTGCCTCGCTTCATCATCCCCGCAGTCTTCGCTTTTCTTGTAACGGGCGGCGCGCCGGCGCCTATAACGAGTCGCAACCAGACGGTGTACATCACGTGGGGCTTCTCGCCGTGGATGCAGGCGCAGGTGGCCAATGCCACGTGGCCCGCAATGCAGACATGCCTCGCGCGCCGCCGCACGTGCGCGGACCTTCGCGCATACGCCCCCGCTGCGCTCAACGGGACGCTTCTCCCGCCCATCGAGGTAACACTCACTTCCACAACATCTTTCCAGTCAGCGAGTGTGATGCAGCGGCATCCTTTCCTGAGGGGACGTGGTGATGTGGAAATTTAATCGCACATATCGCCCATTTTTCATCGCCGCATGCTTATTGTGCCCTCTGGTTGGTTCCCATGGCAGGCCGGCTGCTGCCTTCCCCCGCAAGGCTGTCAAAACCGAACCTACAGGCCCACGTACTACTCCTTCGCAAGCGCCGCTTCCACCGCTCCGCAATCTCCCGCACCTGCCCAAACCCCCGGCGCACCAGGAAGCTCCAACCCCCCACAAACCAGCAGCAGCAGGAGCCAGCAGAACTGCAGCGCATTCAGCATGGAGCCGCAGACGCTGTGCTACTCGTGCGAGTACTGCAAGGGCGGCTTCCTGCACCAGCTGTACCAGCAATACTCCCTGCTCAAGTTCGTCTCACTAGGCGCGTCCGTGGCGGCCCTCGTGCTCTACCTCATGGCCTGCTGCGCCGCATTCACAGGCCTCGACGATGACCTCGACGACAAAGAAGCTGATGCTGCCGCCGCTGCCGCCGCCGCTGCTGCTGCTGCTGCTGCTATGACTGGTAAGCTGCAGAAGAGCGGGACCATGAGCCGCGTGAACACCTTCACCGTGGCCCCGGGGCAGTTTGAACGGGTTCTGTCGACCAGGGTAGGTGACCAAGGGGTTGGGATGGGGTTGAATGGAGGCGTGGGAGCAGCAGCAGCAGTGACGCAGTATGAGCGGTCGCTAACGCATGTGGATAAGTCACCAGGGGCGCTGGATCGATCTCTCACGGAACTCGAGAAAAGAGGGGGGAGACGGGCGAGTTACGGGGGAGAAACTAGAATGCGGGAGGACATGCGTAGCCGAGGTAGCCCCTATGATGAGTCTCCAAGTTCCCGCAGCTATGCGGATGATCCCCCGACTTCCAGAAGCTCCCGAAGCTCGCGAAGTTCCCGAAGCTCCCAGAGTTTCCAAAGCTCAAAGAGTTCCCGAAGCTCGAAGAGCTACCGAACCCCCAAAAGCGCGGAGAGAGGCAAGGAGGTGTTTGTGGTTGATATAGAGGAGCGAGAAGGGGGGTATGGAATGCCTAAGAGTCATAGTCTCCATGATGATACAATGTGGGAGGAGGATGAAGACATGTACTACAGTCGGATGGAGGAGAGGCGCTTCGAGGAGGACATGGAGAGTGAGCGGGCGAGAGAGAGGGATTTGGAGAGGGAGAGGAATATGGAGAGGGAGAGGGATGTGGAGAGGGAGAGGGAGAGGGAACGGGACAGGGAAGCAGGCATGATGCATGGAAGGAGCTACAGCAGTAAGAGCGGGTCAGGTTATAAACAATCAACGCGGTTGAGCCAAGAAAGGTGTGGCTCACCACCCCAAGGCAAATCGGAGATTGGACACTCCAAGAGAAGCACTCGGTCGACGGGGGGAAAGAGCTCGGAGCATTCTCATACAGGGCGTGAGGGGGGCCAGTCTGAGAGATATCCTTCGAGAAGAGACGAGCAACCACATGAACCACCCAAGGTTTATGACTTGGAGGGTATGTATGATGATGAGAGTGGGTATGAAGATGGTAATCTATATGGTCATGCGCATCCGCAGCGGTCCTTGGATGCTGAATCGGATATATATGAAGGTGATGACTACGAGTCATACGACGATAGAATATAGCCTGTAACATATTCGTTTTTTATAAATAGAAATGTGACTGTCTACACTTGCTAAAGTTAAATTGACTGCTTGCTGTTGAGCAACAGCCACGCAACAGGCAGCTCTTTTCTTGGCATTTGTTACGGGTGCAATGAATCGAAGTAGCGAGAATTGCACTAAGGTGTCAAACGAGTACAAAGATGTGAGCGAAGGCATGAGCGAACATTTATATGAGAAGCATGCAAACGGTAACGCGGTGCGTGCGAGCTAGCCAGTGCTATGCTGGCAGCGAGGCTCGGGCTAGTCCCGAAGCGTAGGCCGACACGGCCGGGCCAGCAGTGCGAGGTTTGGTGAAACAGTGCGCGCGAAGTCGGCGAAGTTCCGTTAGCAGTAACGGGCGAACAACGGCTGTTGCTGTATGCGATGTAGTCGGGCTCCGTAAGGAATGCCGAGAAAATTCCTTACACTACCCCCCCCCCCCCTCAAGAAGCCCCCTCCGCTACGCGAGTGCGTGTATGTCGCGGAATCCCCGGCTCCTCAGGTACACTTGTAGGGCAGGGTGGTTTTCAATGTTGGCCAGGGGCACCCAGCTATCCTCAGTTGGCATGCGGTCCTTCCAGCGAACGAGGAATTCAATCCTCCTGATTCCCGTGGGGTGTCGAATCCGATGGCTCAGGATTTTTTCGGGCTCGATGATCGGCTCTGATGCAGGGCGAGTCATGGATGGCGGGCGGTGGCGAGGCAATTGGCTTGTGGTTGGTGTTGGGCTGAAAAGGCCCTTAGGATCTTTGCAGGGGTGAACTCTGGGTAGAGTTGGTGTAGTAGCGGAAGCGTTAATTAAAGAGTTGTGAACCACCTTGCGCTAGTATGTGAGGGCAAAGTAAGTTGATTAAAACAAAGAGATACAAGATTATATAAGAGTACAAGGAATATGAAAGGATACGGTTATAACTGTTTTACTTGTTGCTGTTGCGGTTCGATACAGTGACGACTCGGGCAACTGCTCTGTAGCGAGTCAGTTGTGTGTCCTTGCTGTCGCGCTGTACTTGTCAGGTCAAAGGTCGCTGACCTTTGACTTTCGCGTAACCTCCAGCGGTTACTTCAACCTCCGAGGGTTGACTCGCTGGTGCCTCGATATGCTTTGCTTCGCTTGTGCCTTAGTGTTTCGACACGACAGAAGCGCTTAGGACCGATTGTTTCCAACACTCCCCTTCGCTTCTGGAGTGTCGCTGACGTGGCTCTGTCCAGTCAGCAGCATGCAGTATTCGAACTTCTGCTTTCCGAGCTTCTTGGACGTGGGGCAGTATGACAGCTCGAGCCTTCCCTTCTCGATCTCGTCCTTCACGAAGAAATATCGCAGGGCGATGTGTTTCGTCCTGTTCGCGAAGCCGTTCTTGTTGGCGATGCGAATTGCCGATTGGTTGTCGCAGAACAGGGTAAAGTTGGGTAACTCGGCTAACTTCGCTTCTTCCAGCAGCTCGCGAAGATAGAGTCCTTCCTTGGTGGCTGAGTAGAGTGCAATATATTCTGCTTCAGCTGACGAGAGAGCAATTAGTTCCTGCTTGCTCGATTGCCAGGAGATAGGTCCGATAGGTTCGAGGCGGTAGATGTAGCCGGTGCGGGAGCGCCTATTGTCTGAGTCGCCCGCGTGATCTGCGTCGACGTAACCGATTAGCTTAGGCGTTGTAGTTGCGTTCTTATGGAAAGTCAGGCCGACCGTCGAGGTACTGACAAGGTAGTGAAGAGCGCGGTCGAGCTCCGCCAGATGTTCCGCTTCAGGCTTCTTGAGGTGGGTGGCGAGCTGGCTTGCAGAGTAGGATAGATCTGGGCGGCAGGTGACAGCTGCGAAGAGAAGGCAGCCCAGCTTTCTCTGGTAGTCGCGTATGCCGGCGGGCTTGAGTAGAACGGAGCCTTCCTTGTTGTTTGCTGTCGTGTAGCGGTACGGTGTGGAGATGACAGTCGGTGTGAGTGCGAAACGCTTGGCGATGGTGTCGGCGTATTTCGCGGCGCTGAGGTAGATAGCGTCTTCCTCTTCCCGGATGTTGAGGCCGAGGTACTGTGTGACGGTAGATGAGACCGTGAGTGTGAGGTCTTGCTGTAGCTCCCCTTCGAACCAGGTTGTAATGCCGTCAGTTGAGCCGATGTAGAGCAGATCGTCTACATAGACGATTAGCAGGATGTAGTCAGTACCCTTCGTGAGCCGGTACATGCCCTGGTCGTGCGGCAATTGCTTGAAGCCGATGCGAATGAGGCGAGCGTGTAGGTATTGTTGCCATAGTCGCGGAGCTTGCTTGATGCCGTAGAGTGACTTGAGTAGTTGACAGACGTGGTTCGAGTCCGTGCTGGAGCCGTGTGGTAGCTCGGCGAAGATCTCTGCGTCAACGGGTGCGTAGAGAAATGCGTTAGCGACGTCGATTTGCCGCAGCTTCTTCTTCTTCATGGCGGCGATCGCGAGAAGGATGCGTAGCGAGGTGTGTCGGCTGACCGGAGCGAATGTTTCGGTGAAATCGCGTCCGTGCTCTTGGTCGAAGCCGCGTACGACCCAGCGTGCCTTAAATTTGTCGATGGTGCCGTCAGCCTTTGTCTTCACACGGAAGACCCACTTCCCGGTGAGCACTGTCTTGTTCCGTGCCACGCCGATAGGAACCACTTTCCACGTGTTGCGTTCCTCCAGTGCCTTCAGTTCCTTGTCCATGGCTTCGCGCCATTTTTCCCTATGTTCCCCCCCCAGAGCCTGCTGAACCGTCGCAGGCTCTTTAGGAGTGGCGGTGCCGTGGACTGCGGTGACGAGTCCGAGAATCTGTAGTCCACTCTGTGAGTAGCGGGGAAGATTTACGTCCTCGGGATAAGCTGCTTCATCTCCCGCTTCTGGATCAGGTATGAAGTTTGGTCCTACTCGTTCGGCTTCGTTGGTGTTGACTGTCGCAGGTGTTACGTAACCGTTGTCGGCGAAATGGTAGAAGGTTTCGGCGTTGGCACTTTCGCGAGGGTTGTCTTCGTCCATGGGAACGTCGACGGAGCAGAACGGAAGAGGTCCGGCTTCTTCTGATGCGTTGTCCACATTCTGCTCGTCCCAGTCGGCTTCGTCCGCTGCTGAGGCGAAGGCTCGGTCACCACGAAAACCACCTGTGGGATCCTGGTCTTCGTGCAGGTTGGCAAGGTATGTCTGGAGCGTGAGTCGTTCGTAGAAAATTACATCACGTGCTGCTACTGTTTCCTTGGAGTGGACGTCGAAGATTTTCCACGCGTTGTAGTTCTTTTCGATTCCCAGGTGTAGTCCCCACTGTGCTCGTTGAGAAAATCGGCCCGCTCGTGCTGCTGGGGGTCGGTACTGTACCATGCATCCGAATACTCGTAACATTTTTGTGCTGCCCTGTTTCCCTGTCCATAGCAGATGCGGTGATGCGTTGTTCGGAAGCGATGATGACGACAGC